TTGTTTCTTCTTAAAAGGGGACTAATCCCATTCATAAGGGCTCCACCCTTATGATCTAATTACCTCCCCAAAGTCCCACCTCCAAATACCATCACATTGGGAATTAGGCTTCAACATATGAATTTGGGGGGGACACAAACATTCATTCCATGCAATGGCTTTTATCGATTTAAGGCATTTCCCTTCTCTTCCTAGTTTGTTGAATGTTTCTCTCAAGAAATACTTTGGGGTTTTTGTTACATGCTTTTTCTACATTTATTGAGATGATCGTGTAGTTTTTGTACTTTATTCTGTTAATTTGATGCATTACATGAATTGTTTTCTAAGTTTAAACCAACCTTCCATTCCTATGATAAATTCCATTTGGTCACGTTTTATAATTCTTTTTATATGTTGCTGGATTTGTTTTACTAGTATTGCAACTATATTAAAAAAGATAATAGTCTATAGTTTTCTTTTCTAGTTATATCTGTACCTGGTTTTCCTATCAGGTTAATACTGGCCTTGTAGAATAAGTTGGGAAAGAAGTGGTATTTTCTTCTTTAAACATTTGGCAGAATTCAACAGTAAAGTTACCTGTGACTAGGTTTTTCTTTGTGGGAATTTCTTAAACCTACTAATTTAAACTCTTTACTTGTTATTGCTTTATTCAGATTTTCTATTTCTTCTTGATTCAGTTTTAGTATTCTGTCTTTATAATAGAGCAAGTATATATTTATAGAGTTTGTTATATTAATAATCTTATTTACCATTTCTGGTTAATTTCATTTCTTTCTGTAATTTGAGTTACCATCATGTGTCATTTTGTAACTCTAATACAGCCTTATTACCACCCACCTAATTTGTGTTATTACTGTCAAATATGTTATATTTCTAAATGATACAGACCCAACATTACAATTTTATATATATGTATTGTTTTATACAGTTGCTTTTCAATTAGTTAAAAGAAAGACAAAGAAATATTCATTTATACTGTCTTTCATATTTATGTAACTAATTATATGTATAGGTGTGTATATTCAAATTACTATCTGGTAAAATTTGCTTTTAGCCTGAGAAACTTCCTCTACTATTTCTTATATGGGTCTGATAGCAAGGAATTTTTCCCATTTTTGTTTATCTGGGCGTATCTTTATTTTACCTTCATTTTTTAAGATAGTTTTGCTGGACAGAAGATTCTTGGTGAACAGTTTTTTTCTTTCAGCGCTTTGAATATGTCATCCCACTGCATTCTGATCTTTATTGTTGATGAGAAGTCAGTTGCTGATATTCTTGGGGCTCCCTTGTTTGTGATGAGGTGTTTTTATCTGGTGGCGTTCATAATTTTCCTTTGTCTTTCAATATTTTTACTACAATGTGTCTTAGTGTGAATTTCTTTGTGTTTAACCTAACTGGAGGATTTAGATCTTAACTGACACGCTGGGATGTGCAGACTAATAATTTTCATCAAATTTGGTAAGTTTCAAGTAATTATTTCTTTGAGTATTTTTTCTGCTCCTTTCTTCTTTCTTTTGATACTCTCATGTATATGTTGACGCACTCAATGGTACTCCATACTTCTCTGAAGCCCTGTTAATTTTTCTTCATTTATTTTTCACTTTGTCCTTCAGATTGCATAATCTTTAATGATGTCTTCAAGTTCACTGATTCTTTCTTCTGCCAGTTCAAAACTATTGTTGAGCTCCTCTTCTGAATTTTTAAATTTCAGTCATTGTATTTTTGAATTCCATAATTTTTGTTTCTTTTTTATAAATGTTCTATTTATTGATACTCTTTATTTGTGAGACACTGTTATACCTTCCTTTTATTTTTTAAATATGGTTTTCTTTAGCTATCTGAATATATTTATAATAGCTGCTTTGAAGTTTTTGTCTGCTAAGTCCAACATCTGGGCCCCAAAAAAGCAGTTTCTATTGTCTGCTTTTTTTTTTTCCTTTTTATGGATCACACTTATATGTTACTTGGCGTGTCTAATATTTTGTTATTGTTCTTGAAAATTGACATTTTAGATAATAAATTGTAGCCACTCCAGATAATTCCCTTTCCTCCCTGGAGCTTATTTGGTTAGTGACTTGGCAGGACTAGTACAACGAAGTCTCTTTCCTTACAGAGTGGAGCCTTGCGTATGCAAACAGCTTCCTCCGTAAACAGGAATGACTGTGGTTATTTAGTCAGGCTGTCTTTGTTACTTTCCCTGATTTCATCATTTAAGTTTCTGGCTCTTCCTACTCTTTTGGTATCACACACAGATACTAGCCTCCACTAATTGCTAGCTGTTTGAGCCACTGCTTTTATGTTTTGTTTTTTGGGTTTTTGTTTGTTTTTTGTTTTGTTTTGTTTTGTTTTTGACACAGGCTCTCACTCTGTTGCCCCAGCTACAGTGCAGTGGTGTCATCATAGCTCACTGCAACGTCAGACTCCTGGACTCAAGCAATCCTCTTCTTACCTCAGCTTCACAAGTAGCTGGGACTACAGGTGCGTGCCACCACGTCTGGCTAATTTTTTCTATTTTAAGTAGAGACAGGTCTCCCTCTTGCTCAGGCTGGTCAAGAACTTCTGACCTCAAGTGATCCTCCCATCTTGGCCTCCCAGAGTGCTAGGATTACAGGCATGAGCCACTGCTCCCAGCCTTGGAAAACAGTTCTTCAGATTAATTTAAATGTTTCTTTTTATGGAGCATAAAGAACATGGACTTACAACAAAACACACCTGGATTCCAGTCAACCCAGTTCTCTGCTTTCTCTATGTGTAACTTTGAGAGTTGGTTTTCTCATTTATAAGAGAAATACCACTTAATATGTGAAGTTCTTATGAGAGTTCAATACAATATGTGAAAAGCACTTGACACGTGTCTGCCACTGAATAAATGATAGCAGTTAGTGGTAAGACTAATCAGTTGTGCTAACACCATCGTATCACTCTGATGCCCTCCCATTTATTTCAGATTTTTCCTATTTATTTTCATTTATATGTTCTACTTTTATGTGTCTTATAAAATGCACGCTAAAACTTTTAAAAAACTGTTGATATAAATTATAAGGTAAAACACTTAGGTAAAGTACACCTAATCCTGAGGTGGCACTTCTGGAATTGACTGTATGAGGAACATGGCAGACTCTCTTCCCAGTAAAACATGTTGAACTAGTGAAAGTTTTAAAAAATAATCACTTAAAGTTTCTAGAAATTGTCCTAAGCACATACAGCAAGTGGAGATACATGTATTTAAGAAAACCTATTAAATCTTGTTAAGAACAGTGACTCTATTGCATTCAAACCATGACCTGCTCCCGTGATCCCTCTCCACCCCTCCTACTCTGCCACCTTAGCCCAGTATGACAGAAGCTCCATTCTGTATGAGTCTAGCAGAGAACACTGGGCTCCTGCTCCTCCAGCTCTCAGTCTTGGGCAATAATTTTACCCCAAGAGGGACAAGAAGGTTGGTATCTCTCATCTTCTCCAGCTCCATTTTGCAGAAGCTCTTTTCTAGGCAGGCACAGGTGAGGTGGCCGTGGCTCCCTTCTTTCACTCATCCTCTACTCACAGGGGTGAAAGCTCTACCTCAGACATGGCAGGCTGAGAATACTGGGCCCTGATTTTCACCACCCTAGCTCACTCATAGGGAGGGAAGTTCCACACAAGCATGGACAAGCCTAGAAGACTAGGGACTACTGTCCCTTCCCTGCTCCCCACTCTTAGATCCAGAGAAGTCTTTCTAGGAGAAGCTGATTGCTGCTCCAACAGCCAGCTCCAATATAATTCAGCTCAGAGAGAGGCAGGCCTTAAGAATAGAGAGCTCTGTAGCTTTCCTAAGGAGACTGACTACTTAGAGCATGTGGAAGTTCATACCATAGGGCACTGTAAAATAAAATAACAATGGAGACCCTAGTGCCAAACAATTAAGGGAAGGCTCCCTACTCTAGCAGTAAGCAAAGCAGTACCTCAGCTAGCTAGAAGTTAAACAGAGAACAAGGGAAATAGACAGCTAAGAAGATTGCTATGAGCCAGACTGATGCCCTGAGACTCTGTCTCAAAAATAAATAAATAAATAAAAAGAATTATTTTGGGGGAAAAAAAACCAAACTATTTTCCAGAAAATAAATTCTAGGCAAATTACAGAAATATTAAATAGGTAACATTGTATAATACATTAGATCAGAAATACACATTTTCTTTTGGCAAGGTTATTTCACTTGATTTGCTGATAGTAAATGAAAGTAACTAGTTCTCTTTCAGAGTTTGTTGACTCTAGTTTTCTGGAATGTTCCTTAATCCAATAGAGTTTATTTAGTTTCTTAATTTATAAATGTATTGATTAGCAATGGATGCCACTATACAATGACTGTGATCAATACAAAACATGAGTTATTTTTAAAAACACAACATATTTATTTTGATTCAATAAGTATTATTTCATACTTATTTTTAGCTTAGCTGTTTGATTTTGCAATATTAATGTTTTTCTAAATGTTCTAAAATGGAGAATTGAGTTGACAGATCAGGTAAGAAAAATTTTCAATTCTGTGTTATGTTTTTCATTAGTCAAACAGTACGGAAATAACACGCCAGAATGAGGTGACTTAACATCATAAAAAACATATCGGATACCTTTTACGATAAGTTAACAAAAACCCATGTGTCAATTTGAAAGGCATATAATAGTTCTCGCTCCCCAAATCCACCACAGAAAAATTATGCTTGCTAAAATCAATTATATTATGAATCAAAACAATTTTTTTACTCTCATGATAGTCTGATGTAAAGCAATAAACATCATTAAAGAACTGAAATACCAGATTCCTATGAAGTCACATATATAGAAAATATCAAGATTAAATTACCAAATAAATATTAATATATTTGGATAATTTCCAGACTATATCATTTTTTAAAAGTACATATATTCTATTCTGATGGGAATATCTACATTGACACTGCATAAATGTGTAACCCATCATATGTGTCATAACCTATTGTTTTTAGTTTACTGTTTTGGTTACCTTCTAGAAGATCATCTTCATCTATGCCTTTGATAATCTTTGATTTGTAGTCTCGGATAAACATGTATTTTAGCAATCTTCTAAGTTTTTTCTATTAAAAATACAAAATAAGTAATAAGAAAATATATACACATATTCACTTTACTTATTAAAGACTACTGTGATAATTAACTTTAAGAAACTTGTACCCCAGAATCATTGGGGAAAATGTAGTAATCCTTAGTATAAAACTATGAAATAAAAATGCAGTCATCATGTTAAATATAAGAGCTAAAACACAAGTATTTTTTAAAGTGCTTTTTCATTTACAAATATCCAGATGCTCCAGAATCACAATACAGTCATGCATCTTTTAATGATAGGGATATATTCTGAGAAATGCATCATTAGGCAATTTGTCATTGTGCAAACATCATAGAGTATACTTACACAAACCTAGAAGGTATAGCCTACTACACACCTAGGCTATATCGTATATAGCATACTGCTTCTAGGCTATAAACCTGTATAGCATGTTACTGACCTGAATATTGTAGGCAGTTGTAACACAATGGTAAGTATTTGTGTATTGAAACATATCTAAACATAGAAAAGGTACAGCAAAAATACAGTATAGAAGATAAAAAATGGTATACCTAGGGCACTTACCATGAATGCAACTTGCAGGACTCCAAGTTGCTCTGGGGGAGTTAGTAAGTGAGTGGTGAGTGAATGTGAATGCCTAGGACATTACTGTATACTACTGTGCACTTTATAAACATTGTACACTAAGGCTACATTAAATTTATAAAAAAAATAATTTCTTCAAGAATAAATTTACCTTGGCTTACTGTAACTTTTCAACAAACTTTCAAAACATTTTTTAACTTTTTTGCAATAATACTTAGCTTAAAACACAAACATCTTCTACAGCTGTACACAAATATTTTCTTTCTTTATATCCTTATTTTATAAACTTTTTTTGTTTTTAAATTTTTTTAAAACTTTTTTGTTAAAAACTATGACACAAACACATGCATTAGCCTAGGCCTACATAGGGTCAGGATCACCAATATTACTGCCTTCAACTTTCATATCTTGTCCCACTGGACGGTCCTCAGGGGCAATAACATACATGGAAGTGTCACCTATGATAACAATGCCTTTCTTGGAATACCTCCTGAAGGATCTGCCTGAGGCTATTTTACCATTAACTTATTTTTTTTGTTGTTGTTAATAATTAGAAAGAGTACACTCTAAAATAACAATAAAAAATGGTATAATACATATATTAGTAACATAGTCATTTATTATTTTTATCGAGTATTATGAACTATACATAATTATATGTATTAGACTTTTATATGACTAGGAGCACAGTATTTGTTTACACCAGCATCAACACAAATATGTGAGTAACGATTGCATTACATCATTATAATGGCTATGACATCACTAGGCGATGGAAATTTTTCAGCTCTGTTATAATCTTATGGGACCACCAGTGCATATGTGGTCCATCGTTGGCCAAAATGTCATTATGTAGTACATAACTGTAATTGCTGTTTTGTCATATAAAAAGTTTTAAATTTTCTTTTGAGATTGTGATAAATATCACACTTCCCATACCAAGAGTTTGTAACAACTGCTTTAAAAAGCCAAGCAATATCCTTTTTATTGTTTTTTATTCTCTGACAATCTTTTTATTAGAAGAGTTGGTTTATGTGTTACATTTATGGAAAACATCTATAATCTGAGAAACATACTTTTAAGAAATTCAAAGCTGATGAATGATAGTTAGGTCTCAGTGATGGTCTTCTTTAAATTTATTAGACCACAAAACTGCTTAACTTTAAAAGTGACTGATAATAATTTTTGCTTGTTATGTGCATATACTTAGAATGCATTATCACTGGTACCAGGTTTAAGATTTCTAACAATAGCTGAAACACATTGCATTTCATAAAGCTCTTTACATGCGTATCATCTGATGTTTTCAATAGCCCTGAGACTATAATCTAAATATAATCACCTCCTTTTTATGTATGGGGAAACTGAGGTAAAAAATAGTCTTACCACTAAGGCTCAGCAGGGCCAGAAGTAGAATATAACTTTTGAACTTCAGTTTTTTCATTTGCAAAGAAAAGTAATACCTACGTTGCATCAAGCTGCTTAGTGCAATACGTAAAATGTAAGCAGCAGTCAACTGTTTGATTACAAACTGGAATTATTAAGAGAAAAAAATACAACTATATATAGGTTTTTTGCTACCATCCTTTCCTCTCTGCTCTGATTCCATTCTGTACTTTAATTTCATTTTGCCTCATATTTTACCTATGTAAGCTACTTTAAATTTTTTTTGGAGCATGCCAGTATATAAATGAAATTATCATTTTGAAGAGAAAGATGAGAAAACTGGGAACTATCATATCACAGCTACGTTCTTGGTTGGTAAAAAGATTCTGGTTAAGAGTCTGTCTGAACAGTAGAAGAGCACTGTTAAATGGTGTATGTTCCTGAAGTTTTAATATGATTTAAAATTTTGATTTCCCCAAAAGGGCAGGCAAAAGTGTCAGTGTGAGCCATTTTATGTGCTAACCTCTTTACTTCCGTCAGTGAAAAAGAAATTGACAAGATATTCTGTAAAGTACTAAGGCTAACCCTGTTGTTCCCCAGCTGGCTTCAAAACGCATCTTTGCACAAGGTCCTCATTTCTGCCAACAGCATTTCAAGGCTCCTTCCTCACAGCACCACTGCTGTGTAGTACTTGATGCCTATTTCTCCTTAGTCCTCCAAGCATAATGAAGTCACCAAATCCTACAAATTCTTACTCTTCATTATCTCTCTGAATTCTTTCATCCTATTCATTTCCACAGCTACCATACTAACCATAATTTGCCCTAATTACTGAACCAGCATCCTGGTTAGTTTCTTTGCATTTGTTCCCTTCTACATACGATTGTGTGTGCCTCACCCTAGGCGGAAACCTCCACTTGAACAAATCCTACAGCCTCTCCAGCTGCTCACACACTCCTGAAATTCCGAGTGTCTTAAAATGCTTCTTCAACTAAATCATACAGATTTCCTAAACCAGATCATAAGCTTATTGACAGTAAAGACATTTCATTTCTCTTCCTTTTTATATTCTTCATATAAGAATTGATTAACTGAAACATATAAAATATTACAGAATATTTTTAACTGACTACCTATGGTAAAATAATTACGACAAAGTTGGACACACAAATATCAGCTTAAATATTAATACCAGAGTTCAAAGAGTAAGAAAGAAAGATCTTCATAAAAAAATAGAAATGGTATATATTTATGCTATTAGAAAATCCACCTTGATTGGTTTGCTTTTTTCTATAAGCTAGTGTCACAGAGTAAACTTTGTATTTCAGGTTTAAAAGATTACTCTATGAAAGTCTACAATTATGATAATATTAATCTATAAAATGAGAAGAAAAATAAATAGGCTATTCAGTTATATCTCATTTATGACAACAAAACACAGAGTCAATATTTAGTGAATATTTATAGCAATGAAAATGTCTAAATAGACATTTAAGGATAAATGAGGATTAGCTGTTAGCACAGTTTTACATAAGTGTCTTTGCCCATGCAAAAATAAATACCAATTCTCTGGTAGTGAACCCATTTTGTTGTGCAAACAAACTATGGAGACTTAAACATCAGTTCAACAGTTTCCAACTTGAAAGCAATATAACAAGGATATATAGTTTCCACATGTAAGTTCAATAAAGCACAAGGCCTGGCATTGTAATACAATGAAATTGTTTTATATTACCTTATCTTTGCGCATCAAAAACAGAAGATCTTCAGCAGAGATTACCCTTGCTCCCCGAAGCTGAGAAATTTCAGCAGCTTGCTGTAACTGACAATGAAGGAAATATAAGAATTTTTCTCAATAATATAAATTAAATATAGTAGAGTAATGATGTCTTCAGAGTGATAAATATACTAAGAGTTAAAAACCTTTGGGAATAATCCAGCAATCACATTACTACTTTTAAAAGCAAAATATCTTATAAGATATAAAAATGCAATTAAATTAACTTATGAACCCACCCGTAACTGATACAATAAACAGAAATCCTTGATTTCTTTCATGCAAAAGAAAAATCATGCATAGCTTCCAGAAATGCACTAATGCACCTGAAAATAATTTTATGAAATTTTATCCTTCATACTCATCTGAGCAATGGTTTCACTCAGTATCACTAGCTGAATAAATATATTATTAATCTGAGCTCCCATGCTGTTATGATTTGAAATAGGCCCATTCAGAACTTTAAAAGATCAACAAAAACAGTAGCTGTTTCTAATATCCAAAAGAAAAAAAATACTTTTCGTTTTGGCAAGTCTTCAGTGGGTGAAGGATTCAGTCCATAAATCATAATACTAGACTGCATTAATTTCTTTCCGTACTATTAATAATCACATGCACACAAAAAGTTAACTGTATCTGGAATGCACAACACAAAACATACTGCATGAAAAGTTACATTCCCCCTAAAATGTTCATCTGGGCCCTTATATCTACAAAGTTGAGAATTTCAGAAGTCTGAGAAATACAATCTTACTTGAAAATGACCTGGAAAATCAAAGAATGTGAAAAATGATAGTTCTACTTTTTTGGCACAGGCAAACTCAGTTTCTTATTTTGATTAGTTGGAAAGAACATAAAATACATCCATCTGAAAAAAATAAAGATGCTGGAGAAAACACTACAAAATGTGCCTATAACTTCTTCCAAATTTGATCAAACCATGCTGATTGCACAAACCAATTCTACCCAATATGAAATATTATAAAAATATTTACATATAAAAGCTGTTCCTGAATATATCCTTCTTTGAAAAGAATAAATCTAACACATGTTCTTGAGAACTAATCTTTAAAAAGTGACACACTGTTATCTTAACAATTATATGAAATCATATAGTTCATTTGTGCTAAAGAAATTCTGCTTGAATGTTTAAGTGATTTTGCTAAATAAGCTTCAAACCTTTTCTGAATACACAGACTACAAAATAGACTATAAACTCCCTATGTGTCAGCTTTACCACTGAATTTCCTGGATACTGGTGGTTGGTATATAAACATAATCCTACCTAAATATAGAAATTTAAATTTAACTGTGAACCATTTAAAAAGAATTCTTGGGGGGTGGGGGGAGAAGGTTTTTAAAAAGATGATGTATCTACCCAGAAAGAAACTAACAGTTTTCAGCAGGCATGAACATGTTTTTCTAAAAATTTAAAGAGTGTCAGGAAATATATGTACACATGAAAACATTTCTATCACAGTCTAAAATACATGCAAACAGTGTGGAGAACATGGGCTACATATCCATCTGTCTGGATACATACAGAAAACAAGGAGATGGCACAGTCAAGTAACTTTATTTTGTTAAATGAAGAATGGTGATGATTTGAAAACCAAAAAACACTATACAGATATAAGTAATTTTACTCAGGTTAAGAAAGGATCAGGAGAAATACATATCCCTAAATAGGTTTACCAATTAATCAACCATTTATCCACACTACATATAAATAATCTGTATTTCTAACATTCTCCGAAATGTCAGTTTATAAACACATTAAGAAAAAAAATGGAAATGGAAAATAAAGGCACAGAGAAGTTCGACATTTTAATCACTTGTTTTTTCAAAACAAGTACATTACTATTATAAAGATCTGGAATTTATGTCCTGGTTATGTTTGTCATATTTAGCAGGAAAATTTTATCTTAGGTTTTCATCTACTCGATTTTCTACTTTTCTCTCAACTAATAAGAGTATCATTCCTAGTACTAGCGTTGTTAGCACTCTCTAGTATGCCTTGTTCTCCGCCCAGTTGGTATGTCGCTGGGACTCAAAGTATCAGTATGTTACCTCACCAAGGCCTGCCTATCCCTAATGTGTCCCAAGCTCCAAAATTACCTCTCTCAAATTCTTACTTCCTTATCTCTGCCAAAGGAGAAGAGCAATCTTATTAGCTAATTATAGTAACTCATACTCAAGTATGTACACTTGTTTCACATCCTGAAAATACCGTAGTTTTCATCCATGTTTGGTTGAAAAATATCTGCTTACGTATAAGTGCATCTGTGCAGTTCAAGCCCGTGTTAAGGGTCAACTGTATTAGCCGTTGGTTTACTTTTCCTAAAAATTTTTAGCCTATGTCCACCTGAAAGAATAACGAATTTCCTCTTTAACAACACAAACTTAAAAAATAGATTAGCAATTTGGCAGTCCAGTTCCACAGGGTGCTGAGCTCAAGACTGGTGCACTTAATGTGAAAACTAATACCAGAACCAGGAAACCAATAAAACAAATGTTCCTAAAACTTTCAGTGTTAATGGCAACTCAGTTATAGCATTTCTATTTTTCTGATTATTATTATTTCTATTCTCCAAAGTAAACTAAATATTATACTTGTGACAACTGTTTAATAGTAAAAAAAATTTCCTCTAACATATTAACATTCATCACTTTTTCATTATAAATATTTTATGAAACTTTATTTGGAGCTTGAGCATGAAAAGGTACACTATTACATGTCATCTCAAATGTCACATCTTTGACCCCACAAATATCTTATTTTCTCATTGCTATCAATGACAAATTCAAATTCAATTTTTTCTTCTTCTTACATTTTTACTAACTTCTATTGATTCTGCTATTTCTTTTAATCTCAGGGCTTTGAATGTGCTGTCTACTTCCATAATATTTATCCTAATCCAGGTATTTGGGGATTTTTATCCTTCTAAATTTCAATGTCTCCAAATTGTCATGAGTTCTAGATTTAACTGCTAAAATGATCTCCCCTCATATATAATGTCCAAATTTTTGTTCCAAGAACTATGACAATTCCCTATTATCAAACTTCAATATGGTCTTTAAAGCCCAACTGATTCACAGATTTTTCCCTACACTTGCATTCTTATTACATTTCTTGTTTTCTCTCATATAATTCTACATATAACTTCCAATAATTTTGTTTCCTTATGCCTTTGTATACTTATGATGATTAACTTTATGTGCCCACTTGACTGGGCCATGGGGTGTGCAGACATTTGGTCATACATTATTCCATGTATGTCTGTGAGGGTGTTTCTGGATAAGGTTAATATTAGACTGAGTAAAGCACCTTGTCTCCCCCTAATGTGGGCGGGGCCTCATCCAATCTACTTGAGGACCTGAATAGATGAGAATAGAATAGAAAAAGCTGAATAAGAGGGAACAACTTTTGCCTAAACGCATAACTGGGGACATGGATCTTTTCTGGCCTCTGGTCTCAGATAGAAACATCAGCTTTTCTTGTGTCTTGAGGCTGCTGATTTTCAGACTAGAACTACACATCTACACATTTGCTCTCTTGGGTCTCCAGCTTGTCAAGTGAAGATCTTGGAATTTCTCAGCCTCTATAACTGTGTGAATAATTTCCATATAATACATCTCTTACACACACACATACACACACATGCGCGCATGCACACACACACTCTCTTATATATACACACACATACTGTTGGCTCTATTTCTCTGCAGAACCCTAACATAGTACTATATTCAAATTATGAGAAATTCTTGATTCTTTATAGGATGCAGCACTTTACTCTTTACTCTTTAAAATGTCTTCAAAATAATTTTCTCAAAGAAATAATATCTATGATTATTTTCACACAACAGTGTTTATCACCTAACCTAGCCATGGAACTTAAACACTCAGTTTACAGTATCTTAATTGTACTTGTTATCAAGTTTCTTCTTTATCTGCCTCAACTAGTTTCCTAACATTCCTGCCTCGCAACTTCCTTTTGAATAATATACTTCTAGGTCCAGGACCACTTATCCCAAACGGATAGTTTATAAATATTTGTTAAATGTTGGCAATCCATTTTCTCCTCCACCATTTTGTTTTTCCATCTGTACTATAAAATGAATTGAGCTAGATGAAGTCTATCACCCCTGTATTTGGCTGGGGCCCACATAAATTCAGTACAACATTTCTCTGAAGTTCCAAAAGGTTTTAAATGTACAACAGAATTAAGGTGACGATTCTACAATTATTAAGATATTGAAAGTGTTTTAACATCACTTCTGTTGTAGCTCTTTGGGTTTTGTCCAAGTCCTGGATTTTTCCCTTTTGAGGACAAATAGTAAATAGTAAAAGGCAGGAGTTGTGATCATGAAGAGGCAGAATCTTAGGTGAGGTTGTTACCTAGCCTAAAATTATTAATTTTTCTGTTTTTCTATCCATAAGTCTATCTATTAACATACACTATTTATCAGGCCAGATAACCTAGAGGTTAGGCTATGAAAGGACACCTCTGCTTGCAACCATACTTTCCAGCCACAGATAACCTCAAAGATCCTCTCTAAATCCTACATGTTATGACTGAAAGAACTTGGAGTTAGGAAACTCTAGTTCTAGTTTTACCACTTAAGTAACTGCATAACCTTTGATAAATCAAATCACTTCTCTAAATTTGTAAGTTTGTTTCCATTTTATTTGAAATGGGTAATGAATGACTTCAGTGACTAGTAGGAGAATTAATAATTTTAGTAGTAGTAATAGCTACCATATATGGGGTCCCTAATTTTTATCAGGCACTGTGGTATGTGCTTTATAAGTATTCAATTTTAATTTTTAAAATTTTTATGTAAGTTAAAATGCACATATTAAATTAGTGCAACCTCTGTGGAAAAGAATTTGGAGATACCTCAGAGAGCTAAAAATAGAAATACCATTCGATCCAGCAATAGCACTATTAGGCAT